TTTGGTTAAACCGAATATATATATATATATATATATATATATATATGTGTGTGTGTGTGACGTAAAGACGAATTTATCGTGATGATGTACGGACAAGGTTCGTTCCACAGAGTCACGAATAAACTGTGTTAGGAACATGATGATCATTCAATTCCTTTCGATGCCATGGCAAGACCACCATCTCTCTGCATTTGGTATTTTATCTATACATACACATATACACTATACATATATATATATATACGTATAATGTAATGTATACCACACTCCATGATTTGGGTGAAAAAACGATGATAACAAGATGTGGAAAAGGGGCCAAAAATGTACATGACGAAGACTAAGTGATTGCCCTGTTCTTGGATAAGAGTTTCACCAAAATTGTGGCCTATGCCATGTTCTTGTATTTATAATCCAAAGTCCTGAACTTGGAGAGGATGAATCAGAGGAAAGGGGGGGTCGGTCCAAACCTTATCAGTGTACCGAGCTTTTCTGACGCGAAAGCCGCATCACTTTCCTCATCCGAGTAGTCAGATGAAGCATCCGAAGGTGTTCTAGTGGAAGCACCTGAAACCTTAGGCTCATCTTCTTCAGAACTCGAGTTACCGAAAATCGCACCTGAAGCCGGGAACGTGTTCTTCCTTTGTTCTTTCGTGCTCAAACTTTTTACGGTCTCCTTTTTCTCGGTTGATCCCTTCGTATTTGCTTGAATGCTTTCGCTAACATTTGAAAGACGAGCTTCTTTGATATTCTTTGCAGTCCGGGCAGCAGATGTGTTACAGGCATCCGGGATTAATGCTTTCGACCTTTTCTCGAGTTTATGATGAGCAATATCATTCTCGGCCTCGATCTTCATCTTGGAAATCGATGTATCATTCTCAAAGTCCGCAATGGTTCGACTTGATTGTCCTACAGCACCAGTTTTTCCGGGTTTAGCCTTCTTCAAAGGTTTGGATGAACCACTAACTGTTTCTTTTAAACCAACGATGGGAGCAACGAGAGCCGTTTCCTCAGCAGCGTTGTCCGAAGGTTGTTTCTTCTTCGTTCTCTTTCTCGATTTCTTCTCTCCCTTTTCCGATTTTTCCTCATTTCCTTCGCCTTGCTGTAAAGATTCAAGAACATTTCTAATGACAATATCAGCTCCTTCACCACGAACAGCCTTGACAGGTTCAGTTGAAGAAATACCAATCCTAGAGTCTTCAACTGGAGTCTTGGCCTTACTCGACTTTCTCTTGCGCTTTGAAGATTTCGCACCTTTAGTCTCGTCTGCATTTACTTCGCCATCGTCCCTTTTACCCGTTCCTTCACCATCATCCTTTGTCGTAAACGTTCCAAGGTTAGGAATTTCATCCACCGGAGTTGCGTTTTTATCGTTATTGCCAATGTTCTGATCACTGTAATTCTCATCTACTGGGTCGGGTTTTTTGGATTCCTGGACCAATGGAAGCGGAGTGGTTGTGAAATCATCGGTTTGAAGATTGTCTGCAGAACTTAGTATAGCCATCTCGGTTTCTGCAGAACATCAGCAATTGTATCAGGAGTCCCGAAAAATCTGATCCACAGAGAATAATAGCTAAATTCAAACCAAGAAAAGAACTCACCTTTTTCTATTGCTGCGGTAAGAGTCTCATCTCGGTTTTCTGGTGGCAAGATTGCACGAATTTCAGGACCGACGATAGCACAGTCTATGTTGCCAGATACCCCGTGATTCCCGTCGAAAATATCTATTGAGGAAGTTGTAGCAGCAGCAGATTTATTTGGATCTTTCGAGGATTTCTTCCGTTTTTTCTTCTTATCTGCAGTTGGACTAACACTCAAGCCATTGTTAGCCTCCATACGATCATTAACTGTTTCAGGTGCATCGAGATTTGGAGCTTTCGGCCTCTCCCCGAGGGAGGAGGCTCGAGGGCTGAGAGCCTCAGGCTTGGAGATCGTCTTATTTGTGTTCAGCATTGACCCGACACTGCCAGAAACAGAATCATCCTTCCTAGTTTTCTTTTCCACCTTTCTTCTTTTCTTAGCAGGAGTTTGAAGATTAGCATCCTCCACGAGATTTTCGCTATCTTTAAGCTGACCGACATCTCCCCCAGCTTCAACCGAGTTGACCCGGATGTCGGAATTCTCTCTTACAGTTACAGAAGGCTTGATTGTAAGAAGAGCTTCACTGTCACGGTGCTCAAACTCGTTGTTTCCATTGCCTACCACATCGACAGTTGCTTTATCTGCATTGCTCTCAGTGTTTTCGTGCGTATTGCTAGCCGATGCCAGTGCAGATGCACCAGATGGGTCATGGTTTCCTTCTATTGCATTCTCATCCCAACTCCTAGCTTTCCTCTTTGACTTATGTTTTCTCTTCGCAGTTGTAGCTAATTCAGTTCCAGCACCTTCCACAAGATTCGGATCTTCTTGCTGCACTACATTATCCTCATTCCTGGTAATCCCGTCAGCAAACTCTGAACTTATAGCCATGTATTTCTCTTTCTCGGGCAACTTAGGGTTTGAAACTTTCTGACACTCAGCAGAAATGTTCTCGACAACAGCATCGGAATCAGGGTAACGAACAAGAGGATGATTGCGGGAATTGTGTTCAACTTCAGGACGATCAAAATCAGCCGGCCGTTGTTTGTCAGAATCAGACAGGTAAACCGAAGGTTTGGACGTTACAAGGCAATGGTCACTCTTCTGCTGATGATCCAACTCATCAATATCAGGCAGTCTACTAGATGGACCACCCAGAAGAGGATCGAACCCATTAGCCAAACACTGAACGTTTTTGCTAGAATCAACACATTGGATCTGCAGATTCTCCCCCTCTTTCGCAACTCTCTTGACCTCGAGAAAAAGAAACCAGCTTTTACCGTTGCCTTCAAAAGCCTTCATCACGAGCATAGTGTCCACGAGGTGATAGAAGCGACCTCTGCGTTTCACCTGGAGGAATGTCCGAAAACAAGAAAACGAAACCGCTCTTCAGCCATTGATGATCAGAAAAAAAGGGTCACGAAAAAGATTCAGCGAAAGACAAACCTTGAGAGCAGAAATTTCAATGTCTCCAACATCTGGAAAGCAAAGCCGGTGCTCCACGAGCAATCTATCTGTAAGTTAAACATCTGTTAGTGCAGATTCATCTCCTGCAACTAGGTATCTTCCCAGTATGCTTAAAGTCTGGAATCCATAACTAAGTGAAACCCTCGTCACTTACCCTAAAAAAAATACCCACAGCAACTGACTTAAGCGGAACGAGAAATTCTCAGTCATGGAGTCGAAGAGAAATATGAAGAAGAGAAAGAGAACTTCACTTATGAATCTGGAGACGGTATCTCCGCTGTGGACGAGGGTGGCGAGATGTGTGCCGAGGTTCGTGTCGATGAACACGGTTTTGACGAACGGCGGGACTGAGTTGACGGAGGATGCGTTCGGATTAGCCATCGATTCGACCCGAGTTGATTCGGCTTCCACAACTCGGAAAAAAGAAGAAGAAGAAGAAGAACGTCGCTTGCGCTGCCTGAGGCTCCGAGTGATTATGGCGGCAATGGTTAAGGGGATGCAATTGCGAAGGAAGGGGGAAGATGAAACGTCAGCGTTTTAGTGTATCAGGTTTGTTCGTTTTGGGTTCTGGGCCGTTCAGGTTGAAAAACAATTTCCGTAAGATTTCACAGGTTTCTTATTTGTTAATAACCGAATCGATCCAAAACCAATAATTAGGGGTAGGGGTGGGCACGGATCGGATATCCGGGATTTTTGAGATATCCGTATCCGTATCCGATCCGCACAAATATTCGATTTTGTTATCCGCATCCGATCCGTAATTTTTGGATATCCGCAACTTCGGATATTCGTAAAAATCACGGATATTTGCGGATATCCGTATCCGACCTAAAATATTATAAAATTTTAAATTTAAATTAAATAAAAAATTCAGATATAAATAAAATATACCATCTATTTAAGATAAATGATATTTACAAATTTAAAATTCATAATTTAAATATTTCAAATCAACTCAAATATAAATATAATTATAATTTATCACATACAAATATATTCAAAATTCAAAATTCAAAACATTAAACATACTAAATCTTAATATTCAAAAGATTATTATAAACCTCAATATATATAAAATTTTTCTTGAATCACCCTAAAAAACGTGTAAATATTAAACATTTTAAATCTCCATATCAAATTATTCTTATATTTAATAATATTATTACAAAATACGGATCGGATCGGATATGTCGGATAATTAAATTTTAATATCCGTATCCGATCCGTATCCGACAAATATCTCTAAATAAATATCCGTATCCGATCCGTAAACTCCGGATATCCGAATTTTCGGTTCGGATATGAATCGAATAACGGATCGGTTCGGATTTTTCGGATATTTTGCCCACCCCTAATTAGGGGTGTCAATCGGTTCGGTTCGAGTCCGCACTCGACCCGAATATTTTGGGTTTGGATTCGGGCCGATCCGATTTTTTTTTGAGTTTATATAGTTAAGTTCGAAACCCCACCCTATATACCGGGTTTGGGTCGGATTAGGTCGGGTCGAGCCGGACCGCATAAATCTATTTGTAAATTTTTTTCCTGTTTTTTTAAATATCAGAATTTCGAACCGGCCGACTTGAGTCCGAAGCTCGATTCGAGTCCGGTCTGAAAACCCGATTTTTTCGAGCCGAGAAACTTAGGCCCGAAGTCCGCTGATTTTTGGGCCGGGCTGAGTCGGAATTCGGAACCAAATTGACACCCTACCAATAATACATGACTATAATCGTAATAAAATTCGAATTGAACTTGATAAAAAAATAATCTAAATAACCATAATTTTTTTTTAAATAAAATTAGTATTTTTATGGTAAACGATCTAAACTCAAACCGAATATAACCGAATCGAATAAAACCAAATTTAATATAAGAACGAAACGGTTATATTGAGATATGAAATACGAATCATGATGTAGCGTAACAATTGTTCATAATGTACAAAAAAAAGATATGATGTGTATACATTTTTCCCAGGTGATAAAATAGATACACCAGATGAATGGTAAATTATCGTTTTTTAGAGTATCTGTTGAGATTTTAGTTCTGAAAAGGTTCGAATTGAAACCGAACCAATTAAACCGAGATGAATAATATTTGGTTTTAATTTGGTATAATTTTTTATTTTATAAAACCAAATAAATCATTCATGAACCGAACTCGCAAAATACCAAATTGAACCCCGATGAATACCGAACATAAATCTAAATTATCAACCGGTATGTACCAACGTACGTGCGAATATCAAATTTCGATTTTTGTTTGTCACTCGATACCAACACTGAATCTAAACCGAACTAAACCGATTGACATTTGAGTCTTTGGTAAGAAAACAGAAACTTGCAGGGGGTGGGGGGGAAACTCTTGGCGCTCGAAAACGCTTTCGGGCAATTCAGAAACGGCTGCAGCCACGAGAGAGTGAGGCCAGTAAGGAGACCGTGGCTCGAACCCTACGAAACAGAGAGCTGCCTTTGCCGCCATGATCGAAGCTCGTCTTATCGGCGCCATCTTTGTCACCTGCACCCATTAGAGTACAACCCATCCAATCCGATGAGAATAAACGCTAAGATTCGAAAATTGTGTATGTTCATTTCACAGACTCTTCAACAAGAAATCAATCAAATGGGTATTTTTCTGCTGAAGATTCAAGATAAATGATTTATGGCCTCATGCTTTCGATTAAACATATGCATCAAGCTTGTATTAAGAAAGGAGAAACCAACTTCAATTAACCTAAAGATACGCAATTCAAATTCCAGTTCCTATGAAGTTATGTTGTCACCATTACCATCTACTTGCAAAACTAATTCCAAAAACATAAATCCAAAGTCTCCATATCAAGAAACTGTACCTGGTGGAATTGAGTTCTTCACAACTCTCTTGACCTCGAGAAAAGCGGAATAGCTGCCTCGGGAAGGGCGGGCTTCTTCCAAAGCCTCCATCACGAACATAGCGTCTGAGAGGTGATAAGAGCGACCTCTGTGTTTCACCTGGAAGGAATGTCCGAAAACAGGAAACCACTCTTCAGCCATCGATGATCAGAAAAAAAAAAGGATCGTGAAAGATTCAGCGGTACACAAACCTTGAGACCAGAAATTTCGATGTCTCCAACATCTGGAAAGCAAAGCCGATGCTCCTCGAGCAATCTATCTGTAACTAGGTGAAACCCTCGTCACTGAATTTTCTTTTCACGACATTAAACAAATCGGAAAAGCATTGAAAGCACGGAAAATTCTCAATGATGGAGCCAAAGAAAAAGAAGTTCACTCTTAAAGCTGGATACGGTCTCTTGGATGTCGAAGAACGTGACGAGGTGTGTGCCGAGGTTCGTGTCGATGTACACTGTGGGTTTGGGATCCATCCAGCCTGTCGGTGGTCTCTCTCTCTCTCGGCTGAAACAGATACGTCTGGAGAAGAGGAGAAATCGTTAAGTCTCCAGAAGCTTGCCGGAGAAGACGATCGTCAAAATCGCCGGCGGCAAGAACGGGGAGGAAGAAAGAAGAAGGTGATGGAGGAATGAAACAACCCACACACACACCCACACGCCTTATACATGAGCATGGCGTCAAACTAACTCTTACCAATAAATGACCAAAATACCCTTCACAGTCTACCCGATTCGAAACGGCAGCGTTTTGGCGTATCGTTTTTTCGTTCTCATCTGGACCGTTGGTTCGGTTAGGTTGCAACCATTTCCATCAGATTTCACGTTGAAATCAGAGATACATATCATGATTTTAACCATATGTATCACGGCTGTAACGGCTGTTCATGAAGTAAAAAATAATAATTTAAGATAAAGCATATATTATATTTTCACCACATTTCTTTAGGGGTGATAAATAGACACTTTTGATCAATGGTAAACTAGATTATCATATAATTGTAATAGTTTTTTTTAAATGCAAAATGTTACATTTTTTCCCTTTTTATTTGGCTCTTGATAATGAATTTTCAGACATTTGAAAGAAAGTTAATTAAGGAGACAATTTTGATGATCCCAACCAAATAAAACATAATTGTAATCAAACTCAAATTCAACATAAAAACCGATTGATTATGATTTATCTAACCCCAAAAACACGGATCGGGTCGGACCGCATAAATCCCTTTGTAAATCTTTTTTATTCTTTTTTTTTAAATATCAGGCCGATTCGAACCGGTCCAAAAGCCCGAATTTTTTCAGGTCGACAAACTTAAACTCGAAGTCCGCTAATTTTCGGGCCAGATCGGATCGGATCCTCTGGCCCAAATTGATACCTACCAATAATACATGACTATAATCGTAATAGAATTCGAATTGAACCGGATAAAAAATTAATCTAAATAACCATAATTTTTTTAAAATAAAATTAATATTTTTATGGTAAACGATATAAACTCAAATCGAATATAATCGAATCGAATAAAACCAAATTTAATATAAGAACGGAACGATTATATTGAGATATGAAATACGAATCATGATATAGCGTAACAACTGTTCATAAAAGTACAAAAAAAAGATGTGTGTGTATATATTTTCATCCGGTGATAAAATAGATGATTTCTTGGTATCAAAATTAGATGTGTGATATAAAAATAGAGAATCTATTCTCTCTTTTTTTTGAAAAAAAAAGTCATCACACCAGATGAATGCTAAATCATCGTTTTTTAGACACTACAAAAAACGGATAAATTCGTTGAAAATGACATAAAATCCGTTGAAATTATACAATTTCAACGGATTTTCAACAGATAAATTTCGTTGCAATATCGTCGTTGAAAAAAATTATTCGTTGAAAATATCAACGAAATTTTCAACCGAAATCCGTTGAAAATTTCTCGAAAAATTTTAAAACGTATTCTCGATCCCAAACTCATACTGTCTCGACTCCGACTTGACCCCGACCCCTAATCCGAATACGGCTTAATTTGAATTTTGTCTTCATATCCAATTTGACTTCGGAAACTCTGAAATTGGAGCTCGAAATCCACTTTCCAGTAGATCATCCATCCTTCCACTACTCCAGCATGAGCACGCTTAACTGCACAGTTCTGATGAACTAATTTCCAATTGCTCCAAGTTAAATTTCTGATATAACAGAACATTAATACATATATTTAACATGTATAAATACTTAAACACATATATATATTTATACATATATATATATATATAAATACTTATATATATATGTATACAAGTATAAATATTTATATATATAAATATATATACACATAAAAATACTTATATGTAAATATATGTATAAATGTTTATTCGTATATATATACAATATCTAACATAACACTATAGTATAAAATACATATATATACACAATATATATATTTATATGTATCAATATTTATGTTTATATATATACATATTTAAATATATATATATATGTATACATAAAATATTGTTTATATATATATATAAATAACCACAAATGTTTTTAAAATAAAATTAATATTTTTATGGTAAACGATATATATAAACTCAAACCGAATATAAACGAATCGAATAAAACCAAATTTAATATAAGAACGGAACGATTATATTGAGATATGAAATACGAATCATGATATAGCGTAACAATTATTCATAAAGTACAAAAAAAAAGATGTGGTGTGTATATATAAAAAAAAAAAAGATGTAGTGCGTATATATTTTTACCCGGTGATAAAATAGATACACCAGATGAATGGTGAATCATCGTTTTTTAGAGTATCTGTTGAGATTTTAGTTCTGAACATGTCCGAATTGAAACCGAACCAATTAAACCGAAATGAATAATATTTGATTTTAATTTGGTATAATATTTTTTTATAAAACCAAATAAATCATTCATGAACCGAACTCGCAAAATACCAAATCGAACCCCGATGAATACCGAACCTAAATCTAAATTATCAACCGGTATGTACCAACTACGTGCGAATATCAAATTTCGATTTTTGTTTGTCACTCGATACCAACACTGAATCTAAACCGAACTAAACCGATTGACATTTGAGTCTTTGGTAGGAAAACAAAAACTTGCAGGGGAAAAAAAAATCTCTTCGCACTCGAAAACGCTTTCGGGCAATTCAGAAGTGGCTGCAGCCACGAGGGAGTGAGGCCAGTAAGGAGACCGTGGCTCGAACCCTACGAAACGGAGAGCTGCCTTTGCCGCCATGAACGAAGCTCGGCTTATCGGCGCCATCTTTGTCACCTGCACCATCAGAGTACAACCCATCCAATCCGATGAGAGTAAACCCTAAAATTGGAAAATTGGGTATGTTCATTTCACAGATTCTTCAACAAGAAATCAATCAAATGGGTATTCTGCTGATGACGATTCAAGAAACATGATTTATGGCCTCATGCTTTCGATTAAACACATACATCAGCTTGTACCAATTAGCCTAAAGATTTGCAATTCAAGGTCCAGTCCCTTTGAAGTTATGTTGTCACCATTATCAAGAAACTGTACCTGGTGGGATTGAGAAGGACTGAAGATTCTCGTTCCCCTTCTTCACAACTCTCTTGATCTCGAGAAAAGCAGAATGGCTGCCTCCCCAAGGGCGGACCTCTTCCAAAGCCTTCATCAGGAACACAGTGTCCGAGAGGTGATAAGAGCGACCTCCGTGTTTCACCTGGAAGGAAAACGACTCTTCAGCCATCGATGATCAGAAAAAAGGATCATGAAATAGATTCAGCGAAAGACATACTTTGAGAGCAGAAATTTCAATTTCTCCAACATCTGGAAAGCAAAGCTGGTGCTCCTTGACCAATCTATCTGTAACTAAGCGAAACTCTCGTCACCGATCGATTTTTCTTTTCACGACAATCAAACAGATCGGAAAAAGCATTGAAAGCACGAGAAGTCCTCAATCATGGAGTCAAAGAAAAAGAACTTCACTCTTAAAACTGAAGACGGTCTCGCGGATGCGGAAGAACGTGACGAGGTATGTGCCGAGGTTCGTCTCGATGAACACCACGGTTTTGGGAGCCATCCAGCCTGTGGGTGGTCTCTCTCTCTCTCTCGGCTTAAACAGATACGTCTGGAGAAGAGTATGAATCGTTAAATCTCCAGAAGCTTGCCGGAGAAGACGATCGTCAAACTCGCCGGCGGCAAGAACGAGAAGGAAGAAAGAAGGAGGTGAGGGAGAAATGAAACTAACTCGTACATATATACGAGCATGGCGCGAAACAAACTCTCACCGAAAAGACCAAAACACCCTTCAAAGTCCACCCGAGTTGAAACGGCAGCGTTTTGGCGTATCAGGCTTGACCGTTTTATCGTTTTCATATGGACCGTTGGTTTGGTTAGGTTGCAACAATTTCCATCAAATTTCACGTTAAAATAAGAGGTGCATATCATGATTTTAACAATATATATCACGGCTGTTCACGGAGTAAAAAATAATAATTTCAGATAAAGCATATATTATATTTTCACCGCATTTCTTTTGTAACCCAAGTTCTTAGAATCTTTCTAAATTAGGTCAAAGGCATATTAAACTTTCGGATTATAAGAAAAAATTTATATGTGAAATATTAAAATTTGATTTTTGTTTGTTATTTGATACCGTATGGAATAAAACCAACACTAAACTGAACCGAACTAAACCGATTGACATTCGAGTTTTTTTTTTGGTTAAACCGATTGACATTCGAGTCTTTGATAAGAAAAGAGAAACTTGCAGGAAAAAAAAACACAAACACACTTTCTTCCGAATCTGAAGGACCTCTTGACACTCCAAAACGCTTTCGGGCAAATCAGAAATGGCTGCAGCCACGAGAGAGTGAGGCCAGTAAGGAGTGGACCACGGCTCGAACCCCACGAGACGGAGAGCTGCCTTTGCCGCCATCTTTATCGCAACTTACAACGGAACGTACACCATTAGAGGACAACCCATCTAATCCGATCGATGAGAACAAACCCGAAAATAATATAGCCCTAAGATTAGAAAATTGTGTACGTTCATGTCACAGATTCTCCAGCAAGAAATCGATCAAATGGGTATTCCTGTGCTGACGAATCAAGAAACATGATTTATGCCTCGCGCTTTCGATTAAACATATACATCAACTTCAATCAACCAAAGGATTTGCAATGCATTATAATCTCTTCTCTTACTACAAATCACTTAAACGTGCTCCAGTTCCAATGAGGTTGTGTTGTTACCATTACCATCTACTTGCATAACTAATTCCAAAGCTATTTTAAACATAAATCCAAAATCTCCAAATCAAAAACTGTACCTGGTGGAATTCGGAAGAACTGAAGACGATGGAGCTGAAGATTCTCTCCCTTCTTCACAACTTTCTTGACCTCGAGAAAAAGATAATAGTTGCTTGCATATCTAAAGATTTCTTCCAAAGCCTCCGTCACGAACATAGTGTCTGAGAGGTTATAAAAGCAATCTGATGATCTGTCTTTCACCTGGAAGGAATGTCCGAAAACAGGAAACCACTCTTCAGCCATCGATGATCAGAAAAAAAGGGTCATGAAAGATTCAGCGGCACAAACCTTGAGACCAGAAATTTCGATGTCTCCAAAATCTGGAAAGCTAAGCCGGTGATCATCGAGCAATCTATCTGTAACTAAGATGAAACCCTCGTCACTCATTTTTCTTTTCACGACAATTAAACAGATCGGAAAAGCATTGAATGCAGGAGAAAAACTCAATCATGGAGTGAAAGAGAAAGAACTTCACTCTTAAAGCTGGAGACGGTCTCGCGGATGTGGAGGGCCATGACGAGGTGTGTGCCGAGGCTCGTGTCGATGTACACTATGGGTTTGGGAGCCATCCAGCCTGTTGGTGCTCTCTCTCGGCTTAAAAAGATACGTCTGGAGAAGAGGAGAAATCGTTAAATCTACAGAATCTTGACGGAGAAGACGATCGTCAAAATCGCCGGCGGCAAGAAGGAGAAGGAAGAAAGAAGGAGGTGAGCGAGAAATGAAACAACCCACACACACACACACGCCTTATGCATGAGCATGGCGCAAAACTAACTCTCACCGAAAAGACCAAAACACCCTTCACAGTCTACCCGAGTTGAAACGGCAGCGTTTCGGCGTACCGTTCTTTTGGTACAAAACGTTTAATTAAGGGAGGCCCATATTGGTTAATAAATGCTTAGTCCAATCCATCTAAACCAAATAAAACATAATGACGATTTTATCTAAATAAAAAAAAACAAATTCGAATTCTAATCAAACCGAAGGATTATTTTTGAAAAAAAGAAAAATTTTACCAATAAAATCAAACCAGACCGATCCGAAATTAAACTGAACCGGAATGTTTACGGTCTTTCTATAACCAAAACAATCGAATCAAACGCGAACAGAAACCCGAAATATCCACCTCTATGAATTAACATGTAAATTGTTTAAAGACCATAAATGTCTTCTAGAGATTAGAGACCTTAGAGGAAGCAATTTAAAAGGGAGGAAAAACTGCCACAAATTCCAAAAATTCTATCATAAGAAAGAAACTTGCCGGATGAATCTGTCACTGGTTTTTCCGGGAATCTTTGAGTTGGCCTTTTTTCCGAATCTGGAGGCACCTCTTAACGTTGAAAGACTCGAAAATGCTTTCAGGCAATGCGGAGATGACCGAACCCATGAGGGAGTGAGGCCAGTAAGGCGTGGCCCGTGGTCCGTACCCTACGAAACGGAGAGCCGCCCTTGCATATCCCTCTGGCGATGCCACCATGAACGAAGCTCTTCTTATCGACGTCATCTTTGTCGCAACATACAACGGAACCTAGAAAAAAAAAACACAAAAAATATAGCCCCGAGATCGGTAAACTGTGTGTGTTCACGTCACCGATTCCACAACGAGAAATCGATCAAATGGGCATTCGACTAACGATTACAAGATAACTCTCCTCGATCTGTGAATCAAGTTTACTGACCAAGATATAAACAAAAGACCATATTCATCAAGACCTAAACCCGAAAACATAGACCTGAAGTTAGTAAATTATGTGTGCTCACATCACAGATTCCACAACGAGAAATCGATCAAACGGGTACCCGGCTAACGATTACAGGATAACTCCCCTCGATTTGTGAATCAAGTTTACTTACCAAGATCTGAACAAAAGACCAGATTCATCCAACCTTAGGCCTCACGGATGAACAGAAGAAGCAAGTTCAATCAGTGGGTTAGACTCAAGGCATGATTTTTGCCTGATGGATCGGTATCTTTAAGATTCAAGAAACATGATTTCGATTAAACATATACATCAACTTGTGTTAAGACAGGAGAAACCAACTTAAACAACCTAGGATTTGCAATGCATAATCTCTCTTCTCTTACTACAGATCACTTAAACTTGCTCCAGTTCTTATGAAGTTATGCTGTTTCCATTACCATCTACTTGCAGAACTAATTACAAAACCAAGTCTCCATTATCAAGAAACTGTACCTGGCATTGAACATCAATCCCACTCTTTTTGTACTCTACATGCAGAGATTTTGTGAACTGGTCCACGTACCTGCAGAATCAAATCAACAATTTCACAGTCCAATCACTGAAAAGAATTAGAGAAAGAATTCACTGGCGAAGATTCATACGTTTTGGCGCCGGCATAAATGGAGTAGAACGGATAGGAAGGGATTAGAGCTGCAGCACCAGAACCCATATTGATGATTGCACCTCGTTTCCTCTCCAGCATATTGGGAAGAACAGCATGTGTAACCTTCGTGGTCCCTTCAATGTTGACTTTGATCAGATTTCTAAGCAATTCCTCGTCGACCTCGTGGAAGTACCTCGCGTACGGGTACGAAATCCCGGCATTGTTGATCAGAATCCCGACGTCCAGACCCTCGATCGTTTCCTTGATCCGTTTCACACCCTCGTCGAGATCTCCGGCGAAATCCATGACCACGGTCTTGATCTGGGTGTTACCGTACTTGGACCGGATCGCGTCGGAGACATCCCTCAGCTTGTCGGGGTTCCGACCCACGAGTACGAGGTTGAAGCCTTTCCCGGCCAACTGAAAGGCGAAAGCCTTGCCGATTCCGTCGGTGGGTCCGGTGACGAGAGCCCACGATCCGTACTCGCGCAGATTCTTGGCGGGTCTGAGGAAGTAGATGTAAACCCATCTGAGGATCGAGAAGAGGAACTTGAAAACGGAGATGGAGCCAATGGCGAAGAGCGAGAGGAGCCAGATTGGCTGGGATTTCAGGGTTTCGGTGAAAGCGCAGAGCTCCATGAGCAGATTCAGGATATGGGTTTCCTCTTTTCAATCTACTGATCCGAAAATGGAGGAGAAATTTAGGGTTTTAAAGGAAGATGAAGAAGAGAAGAATTGAATACGGCGGCAGTGGCAGAGGTGGATGAGCAGAAAACCACCGGCATTAACTACTACCTTTTTTTTTGTTGGGAGACTCCAAATGCAATAAAAAATGTCCAACCTTTTTTTTCATATGTTAACTTTATATTTTTTAATCCCCTTAATTTAATGTTCCCTTCATAATTTGTATCAAAATAAGTGCTTAAACACTAAAAGTATGATATGAATGGCCGGCAATGACTAAATTATTAAGTTGTAATAATATCTTTTGCCACATAATATTTTTTTTATATCATACAGCATTTAAAATTAAAACTTTGAAAGTAGTTAGATATATGAAAATGTACTTATTCACTTAAACGGGAAAGCAAAAATACAAACACAATTTTGCAGCAAGAAAGAATGTTTCAAGATCTATGCCTCAACATTATACATATATAAATATATGTATATTATTAAAAAAAAAAAATTCAGGAACAAAGTTCCATCAAATATAGAATTGTCATGGAACAACGTTTCAGGTCTCTCCAAAAACTTTGAGACACAAAAGAACATACTGTTTCACTTTTCTAGGATCTATGGCTATGAAAGCAAGAATACTTGCAGGTGATTGGGACATTATTTGGAACTATATGCACAAGACAAAGACACAACCTACTGTAATCTGGTATGGAGTCAGGACAAAAATAATGGAGGATGAATAGAGAGAGAGAGACCAAAGTGTGAGAAGTATTGACTGAAGGGGAAGAAACTGAACTGAATCACCTGTCTCAAGATTACAAGATTGAAGCCAACAGCCATAGATGCAGGATCAGACAATATGCAATAACACCTAGTCTTGCCCGAGGTCGGCTCATCAATACTCTTCCACCCGAAACCCTAAACGAGCAAAAAGAAACTCTTTTTTAGTTTCCGGGAATCATTCAGATCGATAAAGGTGAATCCAATCCAGGTTTTTTTACCATATCCCGTCGACTCGATCTGCAATCACCTTTCCTTGCTTTGGAATCAGACCAGACATATTCAGAGACTTGAAAACATGTCCTGCCAAAAGATTGTAGGAAGGGAGGTGTTAGCTTATACAACAATGCATTCATTCATGATTGTCGAGGCTCGTTAGAATATGTACCTTTGTCCTCGTCGGTGTCATTCTGGTTCATTAGATGCTCGGACTCTGAATCTATACTGATTGCGAGATGATCAGCCGACCCTTTCCTGATGGTTCTCACTTGTGCAGATGATGAGACCGGCGATATCGAATTCTTGGCCAGTGATCCCTGTTCATGAAGTAGAAGGAAATTCATTACATAGATCAAGTGCTCAATGGGGAAAGACGGGAAAATGTGTGATAACATAGCAAGAAATATTACCTTGTCATCAATCTCGGATATCTCCGATGTAGAGGGTGCTTCAAATATGCTCCTTTCCTGAACGACGTCGGGCTGAATGGCTCTATTTTGAAGTTCGTCTTCAAGTGCTTCGACTTTCGACGTCAACTCATCCACAAGCTTTTGGCTCCCGGCAAACTTCACTCCTAGCTCTTGGGCCTTTGATTTTGAACTCTCGGCCAACAAAAGTAGGGAAGTCACCTGTTTCTCCAGCGCTTGTAAGAGTGTCCATGGTGATTCAGCTGATTTCGGGTCTACCAGAGGATCCTTACCCGCCAAAATAGCCAGTAGTTTATCCAAACCCGATATTAGCAAAGACAACTCAGTCTTGGCTTTCTCCAGCTCTGTTCCAGTGGTACTCTGTGCCTCGGTAGCCTCCTTCAAACTCAGAATTTCACAGGTTTTTTCTTGTAATGAGGATTCTAGCTCGTTTTTCTCGTAAGTTAAAAGATCTATCTGATGCTGCATGTCGCTAACGCAATCAATCATATAGAATAACTTCTTTACATCATACGGGTATTGTGGATCCGCTGAAGGCATCTCGATACCATTCATCTTGTCGAAAAGAGCTCTTATATCAGCGGCTGATATTAGAGTGTCCTTCGCTTCTGCAACACCGAACAATAGCAAGTGAGATTCTAAAAGTATGGTAAATATGGCAAGAATTAGACTGAAAGATAATATCCTTTACCTTGTTCTTTCACCATCAGCTTATCATACAATGAAGAGAGTTCCTTCTCCTTTTCATGCCATTTTTCCTCCTCGGATTTTAAATCTTCCAATTGATGTTTCAGTTCTCTGCAAAAGGCTTCCATGGATTCTGCATCAGCCTCCAAACTTAAGACCTTATCTCGGTTTGAGTCTCTTTCTTCCACAGCTTTTTCTAAAGCTAAAGAGGTCTCCTTTAGTTTGGTTTCCATCTCTTGGATCAGAACAACGGCTCCATTACTTGTTGTCTCAAAGCGCTTAATAGTAGTGCGGGCCTTGGCCGTGGCAGAAGATAATTCTCTTACTCTATCGATGCATTTGCCGTCCTGAAGCCCCTGCAAAAGCTCCATTTGTACATTTTCATCACCAGTTTCAATTTCTTGGAATTGAGGCATTGCAAAGTTTCCGAAGTCTAGCAGGTTGTTTTTCGGTTCCAACTGCAGATCTCTAACAGCCTCACCACATGCAGACAGCAAAGCTGAAACACTATCTTGTAATGTGGACATAGTGTTTTCCTGTTCTCGAATGATAATTTCCGTACTCCTCATATTCTCTTTCAGGGACTCGTGATCCGTCAAGACATTTATCACATCATCCCTAGCCGCCGTTAAGCTTTTCAACAATGATCCGACAAGCAAATCCAAAGAAGCTGAGAAACTTCCGAAGTTTTGATCCAGGGTTTCGTTTCTCAGCTTGATCCCCTCTGCAAACTTCCTAAGACACGAAGAAATTTCGTCTTCACCAGCTACACTCCCTTGACCATTCTCCAGCTCGGTATTCACGGGGTTGTCAAGGCTGTTCAGCAAGGGTTTTGCCACGGCTGAATCATCCTGAAATATATCCCTTCGGTTATCATGAGGCAAGCTGAGATACAATTGGTTGAGAAAATTATCCACAAACTATAGTCCATCTACGTGATTAAATGCACAGATTTGTGAGACTATTCTTCATATTGTTCATGATTAAAATGTTCTTCAATTTGCACCCAAAGGGAATCTAACTAGATGTTTGCATCATTGGCAGGAGGAAGTTGATAGACTCCTAATGGGTGTGACATTTTTTAAAACCAACAAAGGAACAACATGAATGAGAAAGAAAATGGAAAACAAATGAAAATTTCAACATAAAGAAGAAATGTTGAGAAGGTCAAGAGTTTCACATAATGTTACCTCTGTAGCAATGTCGAATTCCTCTACCTGCAATCCCTTCTCAGAAAAACGTCTCCTGATATCTCTAACAATGAGTTCCATGTCTTTCAGAATCCTGAATTCCTTCTCTAGGAATTCATTCACTCTAGAAACGAGACCCTCGTCCTTCAGCAGCACCTCGAGATTATCAAGATGGTCCATGATCTCCAAAGATCTGCTCTGCGAGTTGCCACTAACTCCACCCAACTCTTCCATGCATGCATTCAGTTTAGATCCGAGAGTTGATATCTCAACTTCAGCTTTTAGCTTCTCCCCTTCTAAAGCAGAAAAACTATTCTCCGCCTTCATTAATGCCTCTTCAAGGGATCTTATTGTCATGGAAGCCTCTGCCATATTTGTAGCTTGGGAATCTGCCTCGTCTTTAAGCTTCTTCAGCTCGTTCTCTAGATTATTTCTAAATTCCTTGTCATCGTCAATTTGTTTCGACAGAGATTGAATATCACTCTCTGCCTGAGAAAGTGCATTTTCAAGTGATTTGATGGTGCCATGTGCCTCTTCTAGTTTTTTGGTCTGAATCATAGCTTCTTCTCGAACTTTCTCTAGTTCCATCTCTGCAGCAGCTGTGCTGCTTTGAGCCTCTTCTTTTTCGGTAATAATGTCAGATATAGTTCTTTCAGCCTGCTTGAGTGCATCCTCAAATGACTTCCTGGCTGCAAAAGCCTCATCCAGTCTGCTAGCCAGAGAGGAAGTATCTTCCCCTGCTTTCTGCAGTTCGAGTTCAACCTTTTCCTTCGAAGCTCGGATTAATCTATTCTCTTCAGAAAGTCGGTCAATGTTGTCCTCTGCAATAGACAATGCATCTTCAACTGATTTCAGGGTTGTGCAAGTTTCTTCCAACTTACTTGCTTCTTCCTTTACTTTCTCTAGCTCTTCCTGTGCTGCTATTTTAGCCAGCTCTACTCCTTTCAAGTACCCACAAAGTCGGGCAATCTTTTCCAATGGATCTTCAGATGCTAAATCTACAGGAATAGTGACACTGTCAACTGATCTGATAACGTTTTCCAGCATGGCATTGTTTTGAGATAATAAGTGCTCAAGTTGATCTCTTTGATCTTTAACAGCCATGAGCTCGGCCTCTAACTCTTGTATCCGCTCTAAATCTCCAGACAACGAGTTGATCTGATTCTTGTAGCCATCAACCGTACATCCCAGCTGCTCCAACTCGAGCTTCAGCTTCCCGATTTCAGAGTTTCTATCATCCAACTGACTCTTCAAATTTTCCCTGTCTTGGACTAATCCCTTGCCTTTCTTGATGGCCATGGTAAGCTTTTCTCTAAGCAAAGCAGATTTCTCTTCCGA